TCTAGCCCTTTGTGTTAGCAATTAATAATGTTTCAGTTACTGTTATTTTGTGGAGGACATTTTACACTTTTAAAATAGTAGTACTACCAGTAGTGTCTGTAGGGAAGTTTTTCTTTATAAAAAAAAAGTCATCTATTATGCCACAATGAATGAGGCACACATTCTGTTCAATTGTCCTCTGAATGGGTTTCTTACTTCTATATGGAATTTCACATCATGCAGTGTCCTGTAAATAAACATTAAAGTCCACCCTTTTCTTTACTTCAAGAAAAAAAAAATCACCTAATACTTAATATTCCAATAACCAAGAAAAGAATAGATAAGGTCCCAGAAATTTATGATTTGAGTTTTTCTTTTAGAAATCCCTAGATATGTATGTATATAAAAGGGGGTTTATTTTTTTAAATAAATACAAAAAAGAAATTGCTAGGTACTTTCTCCTGGGGAATATGGAAGAAATATGTGTTAAATAAAATAATTCTCAAGATCTTTTATATATAGGCTGACTTTTGACAATTAGTATAAAGCCATAAATTTCCATAGAAAACTACTTCAGAGGTAAAAGTGCTGAAAAGAAATTCATTGTCAATCAATCACATTTATTTTTAAAACTCTCCTTCCTGTCAAGGTTGGTTAAGACTTCTTGCTACAGAGGATGCTAATTAGGGCAAAGATAGATTCCAGTTTCTGAAATAGTCCTAGTTGATTTAAGCCTTTTGGCCCCGTGCATCTCTTAATTGCCCTCCTTTTTACTTTTAGCAGCTTGAAACTTCCAATTTCAATAGTTCGATCACTCCTTTTCACATACTTCTCTTGACGACATCTCCTGATGTGCACTTCTCTTAGAAATCCAGGATAACTGAAGAATTGAAGAACGCAGAAGCCCTATCCTTATCGACCCTGGTCATTCACCCAGGGTACCTTGCTAAGTAAGGCTCACTCAGGGCTACCATGCTGCCCAATTTTCAGGGATGCTGTTCCCATCAGAATTCGTATGGTTGGTGCTCTCCACTGCCTCTATTGTACTTACCCTATTGTAAATTAACCTGTGGCCAATTTTTTTGTACATTACCCTGTAGCCAATGAAGAGTTGAATGTTTAGACCTAACCCCACTGGAATTAGGTTCTTTTTTGTTTGCGTGTGTGTGTGTGTGTGTGTGTGTGTGTGTGTTTATACTTTAAAAGAATTAGGTTCTTTTTTGTTTGCGTGTGTGTGTGTGTGTGTGTGTGTGTGTGTGTTTATACTTTTAAAGTCTTTTTAACAAAAAGAGAATGGCAAGGACTTAAGAGTGTAAAAGTGATTTCAAATGTGGGATGTGGGAGAGATACAAAGAATTTGAAAGAGTTAGTGGAGTTTAAAAAGCTGAATGCCAAGTACCAACAGAGAGCCTGCCTGGCAATCCCAGATGGGCTCATTACCTGAATATGCTCCTTAATACAAAGGAGAGTTGGGGCTCTTGTGTCGATTCCTGAAAGCATACATGTTGGACTCCACATTCTCTCCACATTCTGAAACACCATGGTACCTTCCCTACCCTGTTCTAGCAGAAGCAGAAAGTGCTCTGGATTCACGGATACCAGAAATGTGGAAAGAAGAAAAGAGATGCTGAAATGAAAATAGAGGGATAATTAAAAGTCTACACTCAGGACAGTGGGACACCTCCCCTGAACCTTTCTGTGTTCTTCAATTAAAAGAACACTAGCCACCAGGCATATAAACTTCTGGGAGGAAGACTAGAGGAGGAATATTTTTGTTTGTTTTCTGGAAAATCTCTGGTGCAGAGAAATGACAAATAGGTACTGACATAAAGAGAGGCAGAGTTCTGAAACAAAAATGGCCAGATCCCCAAGAGAAAGGCCATCAGGTGGCAAGCTCTGACCACACACACGGCTTCCATTCAGGATGTTTGGGGCCTTTCTCTTAAGCATTCAGTTTTAAACCTCATCACAAATTTGAGGAAAGCATCCAATTTTATAAAAGGCAGAGACCCAAGCAAACTAACTACTTGGCTCAGGTTTCAGTTCCTGAAAAGAAAAAAGAAAAAAAAAAAAAAAAAGAACACAGAGGAAATGAGAATATGTTAGGGTTTTTTTTTAAAGCTTAAAAAAATCCTAAATTATTGTCATCAGTAATTTAAGGAAAAATACTGCATCCATTAAGTAACCATGGGATACAGAAGAAGAACAATCAGAGAATAACTTTTAATAAGAAATAAAAACAACATTGCTAAAATTAAAAAGTTAATAGAAGTGTAGGAAGATAAACTAAAGAAACTCTATCAGAAAACATAATAAAATGATAAAATATAAAAAAATTTGTAGCATAAAAGTAAAATATTTAAAATAGAGTTCGAACAATAAAATATGCCACAAATCAAAGTTCAAGGAGACTACAGTGAAGAAAAAAGATAGGAAGACATTATCAAAAATTAGTTCAAGGCCAGGAGTGGTCGCTCACCCTGTAATCCCAGCACTTTGGCAGGATGAGGCAGGCGGCTCTCCTGAGGTCAGGAGTTCAAGACCAGCCTGGCCAACATGGTAAAACCCCATCTCTACTAAAAATACCAAATTAGCCTGGCGTGGTGGTATGCACCTGTAATCCCAGCTACTCAAGAGGTTGAAGGAGAAGAATCCTTTGAACTCAGCGGGAGTGGATGTTGCAGTGAGCTGAGATGGTCCTACTGCACTCCAACCTGAGTGACAGAGTGAGACTCAATCTCAAAAAAAAAAAAAAAAAAATATTTCAAGAAATTTTCCCGAAATTGAAAAACATGAATTTGTAAAATAGAATCTCTACAAAATAAATAGAAAAATTGCCTATTTTAATGCACATCTCATCTCTATGAAATTTCAGAGCACTAGGGATAAACAGAATATTATAAATGCCTTCAGAAAGAAATAAATAGATTTTTGGGAAAAAAAATCATCTAAAATAAGAGTCCTACCAGACAACTCTATAACCACATTTGAAGATAGAAGATGATAATCCGATACCTTCACATTTGTGAAGGAAATTTTTATTCACACTGAAATTCTGTTCCCAACCAAACTATCAATCAATCAATGTCAAACTATCAATCAAGTATGGCAATGTGTTAAAAGCATTCTCAGACATACAACTTCTAAAAACAAGATCTCCCATGAACGTCATCTCAAGAAGTTACTGGATGATGAGGATGTTAACTAAAATAGAGAAAGACAGTGAATCTTCAAAATAAGGAAGTCAGAAAAGGGGAGAGGAGAAGTTCGAGGATCACTGTACAACAGTTCTAAAGTGGAACTAGTCCACATTGCAGCCAGGAGGATGGAGGGCTCCAGAGCAGATGTTTCCAAGGGCTATGGGTGGGCTGGGGAGGGGCAGAACTGATAAAACACCAGTTGTATTTGACCATGGGGAAACTAAGATTTGTAAGTGTCTTATCGATCTGTTGGAAAGCTTGATATAATAATTGTGATATGTAAACCTAGGCAAAAAAAAAATACAAATCATAACTAACTCTTGGAAAAACAAAAAATTGCACAAAATAGAAAATTTAACTGTGCTACTCGACTCAGCTCTGAACAACACTAACATAGTCACAGCAACATAAATAATGACCATGAATTCAACAAAACTAACTTTAAAACATTATATTGAAACAAAAGGTAAAGACGAAACATGAGATGAGGTGAGAATGCTAAATCTTCATTTGATAAAAAAAAATAAAAAGTTATTAAAATTGACAGGTTAAAGACAGCATTAGAAAATACAAGAAAGTAAATGCCCAAAGAGATAGCCAAAAGAGATTATAAAAGGGAACACAGGAATAGGATATTTGGGCTTCAAGGAGATATTTCTCAATATCAACCTTGTAAAGGTATTTTTACTGTTCAAACTATGTTCATATATTACTTGGAAAAATAAAAAATAATATTTCAAATAGAATAAAAAACTTGGAGGGAGGGAAGGAAGGAAGGAAGGAAGGAAGGAAGGAAGGAAGGAAGGGAGGGAGGGAGGGAGGGAGGGAAGGAAGGAAGGAGGGAGAGGGAGGGAAGGTAGGAAGGAGAGAGAGGGAGGGAAGGAGGAAAGGAGAAAAAGAAGAATTTTTCATCCATGTATTTTGTAACATCTACCAGTTAAAGGAAATAGTCTGTGTGGTCAATTTTATAAATGCCAAAAAAAAATTGATACAATTGTTTACCCATTGCTGATATAAATGAAATAAAGGGGAAAAGCCCAAAGCAAAAACAAAGAAGACTTTTTCTTTACCTATTGAAAAAGCACTTCCTGGGCTGGGCATGGTGGCTCAGCACTTTGGGAGGCTGAGGTTGGTGGATCATGAGGTCAAGAGATCTAGAGCATTCTGGCAAACATAGTGAAACCCCATCTCTACTAAAAATACAAAAAGTAGCTGGGTGTGGCAGCACATGCCTATAGTCCCAGCTACTCTGGAGGCTGAGGCAGGAGAATTGCTTGAATCCAGAAGGCGGAGGTTGCAGTGAGCTGAGATGGCACCACTGTACTCCAGCCTGGTGAGAGAGAGACTCTGTCTCAAAAAAAAAAAAAAGAAAGAAAAAAAGTAGAAGAGATTCCTGAAATCTACAGCAACCACTATGCTATTAAAATGACAAACAAGATGAGCACAAGAATAGTTACTCTCAACACTAAAATTTAGTAATTTCTTACACTCACAGCCAATGCTGCGAACTAGAAAAATGAAAGAAGTCGGTGTCATGAACAAAGGCCACAGTGTATTGCTAAGTGAAAAAAAAGATGTTTTAGTATGTTCCCATTTATGTGTATGTACATACATACTACTAAAAAGTAATCTAAGATAAAACTTACCACAGATCATCTCTGGGTAGAATTATGAATGACTTTTAGCTTTTATTTGCTGATATATGTGTGCAGTTTTCTACTGTTGCAGAATTTTCTAAATTTTCTACATTGTTCTACACATGAAAATTATATATTTTTTATTTGTGCCACATTCAAAGAAATTTTCTTTTTTTTTTTTTACCTTTCTGAAGAACATATCCTTCTCAGCCATCTTCTTCTCCATTCCATCTTTGTTGATAAAGTTGAAACTGTAGCTGAAAAATAAAGAATGTAAACATTTGTATTTAAATTACCTCCACTTTTGCACTTGAGAGAAGAACTGATCTTGAGTAAAACGGTGAAATTGAAGAGATATTTCTTTTTTTGTTTTGTTTTGTTTTACTGAAGAGATAATTTCTTCAATGGATCCCGACTCCCCTTTTTGTCTCTTACCTCCATTTCAGTTTTCCTGAAATCAATTAAGAGCTGATTTTTAAGTGGAAGTTTCTTGTTGTTTACACTCATCAAGATAGTCAAATTTTAAATCTTTCATCCCAAAGTTGGTGCTTCCCAAGATTCTGATCTGGGCCATACTTGATTTCATAAATACTTAATTGCTCTTAGACTGTGCTCCCATAACATCTGTGCATGCCTCAGTTTTGGTAACATAGAACTTTTCTTAACGAAACTCCAATTAATGTACCTAAACTACATTTATATCATCCATTCGGTCTGTAAAATATTATGGCTGATGCCCAAAGCATTCTAGACTCTCTCACCTTTCAGCTGTTCCAGCACGATCATGAGCTTCTGTTTCTGCCAGTTGACTTGTACATGTACCAAAAAGTTGGTAACATTTTTCCCCAAACCAGTTATACTTTAATTACATAATTAAATTATGTACTAAATGTGATTTTGAAAAATGTGAAAAGGGTTGTTTCTATGAAAATACATGTGAATATTTAAAAAAAACTGAATAAAGATGAGTTGCTAAAAATAACGCTGTTGACTTAAGTGATGGCAAGATAACTAAAACACTAGTTTATAAAACTAATACAAACCCAGTACACTTTTCACTAATTACTTTGCAGGTTTCTTGATTTTTCACTCCACTTTGAAAAACAAAAACATTAAACCATATGTCATCCATTATGTGGTATATTGCAAAAAAAAAAAGCAATGCATAATTATAAGCAGAAGATCTTTACTCAAAGTAAAGGTCTTGACTTATATCAAAAGATCAGTGAATGAGCCCACAACTTCATGTTTTCAATTTAAGAATTAAAAGGTATGTTTTCATTCCCTCCTATAACCAAATTTTATAATTGGGTTAATTAACCAACTTCTGAGCCAAACTGCATGAGTTAAAAAAGCTTTAACTGAACATAAAAATTATTCAGTTACATATCTGCCTCTCCTACTGGAAAAGGAGTACAATCACTACATACAGGTCTTACTCTTTGTTCTCTGGCACCAATTAAATACCCTTAATACATGTTTGCCTCTTAAAAATATTCAATGCCTCTCATGGAAGAATAACATAATATCAAATTCTTTATTTTGCATTCAAAATTTCCTGTGAATTTTTATTAAGCTTCATAAATCCAAATTGAAGCCCCTGTGAAAATTGTTCTGCTTGATTTCCTTTAAAAAAAAATATTTATCTGCCTTTCCTCATGTAGTTCTTCCACTTAGAATGCTCTCTCACTAATTTCAATATCCTATCCAACCATAACCCTAATTCACACAGTCATTCAGGGAGGTCTTAAATGCTTTCCCTAACTCCTTACACTGACCTGATGGTTGGCTATTTTCATTTCTGGTATCGAAGCACAAGTCATGATAAGTCAGCTCACTCTGGAAATCCTGGGACTGACTGAAGACCCAAATATGGAACCAGCAAGGACCTAAGTGAACTGGTTTTACTCAGAGCTAAATGTAGACATTCAGAGATGCCACTGAGCAGCTGAGACACAGCACCTGGCATCATTATAAGTTGAGTCATGATTCAGACAAGAGTCAGCCCAAGACTTCCAAGCCCAGATCACAGGAAAGGCAATGATAATCTGGGTGGAAGACTGCCATCATCCTTGAGTTGTGCTGTGAACTTACAGACTCCAACAAGATCTCAGAGACTCTGTGGGCTACAGGACTGTACAACTGGTGTGACTCTTTTCTCCTGACCTTGGTTGGGCAGTGTTACGAGGCCAACTTTGGTGTATAAGGAGCAAATGTGAAACCCAGATTGAAATTGGCTATGAATGCCTGTGAGTCAGCAACCAGCTAGGATTTGGAGGTAACACGTGTATTTCGCAAGATCCCAATAGAACGCTGGATCTGAGGTCTGGAGAACAACAGAAATAATTTCTTATGGGGGCCCAAGAAACCAGCTGGGTCACCAGGACTATGTCTGGAGTAGTGACTTAATTTTAAACCATAAAAAATGGGGAATTTTCATGAAAGGGAGGCGCTAAAGCTATAGATACTTCCTAATTTAGAAAATGTTCAATAACTGGCTAGATCATAACTTTAGCAAAGGGTATGAATTCAGCCAAAGTTTATGACCTTGGAAGAGGCATAGATGAAGGAAATGACATTGTCTCACAGATAAAAACAGTTTGAGAAAATGAGCTGATAATATTTCATAGCATAGCTAACTAAGAGATTAATAAACCAGTGACTTAATTTACATTTTATTCATTTATTTTTTTTTTTTTGAGACGGAGTTTCACTCTTGTTACCCAGACTGGAGTGCAATGGCGCGACCTTGGCTCACCACAACCTCTACCCCCTGGGTTCAGGCAATTCCCTGCCTCAGCCTCCTGAGTAGCTGGGATTACAGCCACGCGCCACCATGCTCAGCTAATTTTTTGTATTTTTAGTAGAGACGGGGTTTTGCCATGTTGACCAGGATGGTCTCGATCTCTTGACCTCGTGATCCACCCGCCTTGACCTCCCAAAGTGAGGCAGCAGGCTTTAGAATCTTTGGACAGTTTTGAGGGTAAGCAGTTGGGTGGCAAAGAGCATAATTTTATTGAGCTAAACACCTAGAGTGAAGCTTCTTCAGAACTGAGGTGATGAAAAAATATTAAAATTTTTAAAAAAGAGAAGCTTCTTCATTCATCATAATTCAGAAAAATCTGTCAGTTACCACGTCAGCAGGTTTTAGGACCATATTTAGGACCATATTTTTGGATTCCTAGAGAATGGCATTTACTATGACTTGATAAAAATCTAAGTCAACTGCTATTCAGATTCATTCCTTATAACAAAACACCTGAATCAGCTCATTCTAATTTCTTTGCAATGGTGTTTTGAGTGTTGTTCAGTATCTGTTTTATGATATTTTCACATTCTCCCAAGTAATGACATAAACAATAAATATTAGCTAAATTCTTATTAATTCAGTATCTTCTTCCAGTGAAATACTACCTGGCTTTGGGGATTTTCTTAAGAGTTACAAGTTAGTTTCACTTATTTGGTCAAAGAATTGGAATAAATAAGTTGTCAACTTTATAGCCTAATTCTTGCCTCTTTTTTTTTCTGGTTTTACTATATCTGACTTTTAGTATTAGTTGTGTAAAACATTTTAAGACATAGAGAGGTGCAGCTAACAATATAGTTAATAATTACCGGGCACTTATTATTATTTTAGGAACTCCGCATATATAATGTAATCTACCCCACAAAAGATTATCTCAAGTATCTACCCTTACATTTGCCATTTTGTGAATGAAGAACCTACAATCCTTTTACAATAATAGTCCTAAGAGTGCCCAAGATCACAAAGCTATTAAGAGGTTAACCTTGGATTTTTAGTCCAGGTCTTAAATTTTTTAACTGTACATTTAAAAGAGAGAGAGAGAGAGAGAGGAGACAGAGAGAGAGAGAGAGACAGTGTGTGTGTGTGTGTGTGTGTGTGTGTTACTAAGACACTCTCTCCTTCATTCTTTTATACAAAAATTTTCTTTTCTTCTTAGGAAGTTTATTGAACATTTAGTGCACTGCTTAGTGCACAGGGTATTTAGTAGGAATCAGAAATGGATAAAAACCAATCCCAGTGTTTAGAAGCTTATAGTGGTTAGGAAATATTTTCCAATCAAAATGACAACTTTTTAAATGGGAAAAAATGAAGAGGACTGGGTGTTTGGCCCTCAGAGTTAGCTTAGGACATTTAGATGTTGCAGGAAGGAAATTAAGTGGCTCTTACTGCACTTCACTGAGAGTAACTTGAACATTGTGAAGTACGGAATCTAATATCTATTGAATACAAATGGAGGTTGTGTCATTATCCTTGGCTGTGGAACACGTTTTTAATATGCTTGTCTATGTGATAAGACTGTAAGTTCTGTAAGTGTGGATGGAGCCTTTTTTATATTTCTATAATGCCACAAAAGCTAGTATACTGCTACATCATTCAAGATTGGATTTAATTGAATTGGATATGATCTTTCATCTGTATTTAGTGCTCTTTCATGAAATACTTGGGAAATTTCTCATCTCTCTTCCACAGTACTTAAACTGCTACAAAGATAACCAAACAACAGTTTGTCCACAATTCCCATTCCCAATGCAAAATAAAGCTCTGCCCCCTCACTCATTCTTAAAGAAATATTTCTTTTTTTTTTCCTCTTTAATTTTTTTAGACACGGTATCTCACTGTGCTGCCCAGGCTGTCTCAAACTCCTGGCCTCAAACAATCCTCCCATCTCAGCCTCCCAAGCATCTGGGAATACAGGCAAAAGCCACCATGCCTGGCTCATGTATGTTTTTAAACACCATTATTTTCCTAGATTCTAATACTCTCATTACATTGAGAGTATTAATCCAAAAAAATGTCTGATGACTGATTTTGATAGGAAAATAGAAGTTTGAAAGACTATGTTTGGAATCTAAGGACACACTCACTCTGTCTTTCAATAAAATGATCTATAATTTACTTACTATCATATTATCATTTTCAAAAATATTCATGCCAGCAAAGTTCCCAGACAAAATATGCATCTGTTTTTTTAAATATACATTCAGTTTTGTAGCACTATGTTTTTATTTCTTTAATTACACTTAATTAGTGATAGATTGGCCACAAGAAGCTCAGAACCTTGAAGTACCATATTGCAGCATTCTGAATGTTTGCATTTACAAGATACGTTTGAGAGTCAGTTCCTTAAAGAGATTGCAAAGATACAGGTTAGACAGATTTCACAGAGAGGAGATTACCTCTTCAATGTGTTTGATTCTAATAGCTGAACTTTGCAGGTTCATGTTATTAATG